TAAATATATAATAATATATTTACCGGTTTATGACAATAAATACAACATTCAGCAATTCTTAACCATAATTTAGGATTATTATGAAGCTTTTGTGAAGCATCCATAAAACAATCAAAAGCTACTGATGCTTGTCCTGCATGCAATAAAGATACACCTAAACTATACATTAATTCATAATGTTTATTCCCACCAAGAGTACACAATGGTTGCAAAGATAAAGGATCTATATAAAAACAATTTTTCTTTTTCAATTATTATTTGTAATATTCTTATATAAAAAATTATAAAATAGAAATTAGTTATAATTACCGCTATCTTTCATTTGTACACTTTCTAGAGCACATTTATTTTCATATAAAGCTTTTCTTAAATAAAAACATGCCAAATTTGGTTTGCCCATAGCAAGATGTAAACATGCCATATTATTGTAATATAATACAGCAGAAGATTCTCCAGTAGTTCTAAAAAAATTTAAATATAATAAATAAATTATTATTATAAAATAAAATTTTTCAATGATTATAAATCTAACATACTTAAAATCTAAATTTTCTGATGTTATAGAATTCAATAATTTAATAGCTTTCTTGTAATTTCCTCTTAAATATTCAAGATTAGCTTTTAAAAATACAGTTGATATATTCTGAAATTAAACAAAATTAAATACAAAATATGATTTATGATACAAAAATATAAGATCTAAAAATATAAAATCTAAAAATATCTTACTACAGGTGTACCCAAAGAAACTAATGTCTTCCATTCTCTTTTACATAATTTCAACTGATGCATCATAAGGTATATTCTAGCTTTGCATTTTAATAATTTCAATTTGAATGCATCTGTAGCTGTATCAACTTCTTTTTTTGGCTCCTTTTGTTCCTTTATAGATTTAATTATACCTTCTTTGTCAACAGATGAGATTTTAGAATTATCTGTAGATATAAGTTGACTTTCTATGTAATTAATTAAAGATAATGCTGCATCTGGTTGTTCTGTTATTATATGTAATTCTATCAAAAGAAGGCATACTTTGTGTGCTAATGATTCTTCTGAAAAAAAAAAATAATAATAATAATAATAAATAGATTAAGTTTAATATTAACTTATGCTTTAATAAAAATTTTCATAATTAATATATTATTTACCCATAGGTTCTATGAAAGCAAATAATCTATTCATAATTTGAAGGGCAGCATTATATTGTTTTGAATGATATAATAAAACTGCTTGATTATACCTCATAACACATTTTTCAATATCATCTATGGTTTCAGTTGAATCAATTGTAGACATTTGTCCACATATTGCATTTAAGCTTTTTCTTAATAATTCTGTTTTTTTTAAATCATTTTTATAACATTCTACTACAACTTTATTATGCATTACTTTTAAATCTTTAGGCCTAAGAGTTTCTAGTTTATTTAAATATGATAAACAATTAGCATATGCGCCTTTTTGAAATTCAGATAATGCATTTTGAGCCAATTCACGTTCTTGTTCTGTTATTACTCCAGGACCAATATCTTTATTGTGTAGTTCAGATGTTTCACTCATTTTTATTTATTACACAGCAATATTTATCATGTTTTAAAAGTTTTTGAATTTCACAAATTTATATACAACAATTAAAGCTAAATAATTTTTCATATTTTCATATTTGACATTTATGGAGGTTAAACTTGTATCAAAAAGTTAGAAAATTCTAACTATCCTTCTATAAAAAAATATTTAATTTAAATTTATTAAACATAAGTAATATTAAAATAATATTTAATTAAAAATAATTATTGATCTAATCCAAATAAATTTAAAAATTAAATCTTTAACAACAATAACAAAGTACAGAATAAACCTACCATTTTATGAGATTTTGTATCCTATGTTTTGATTTACCGATCGTGCAAGAAAAGTTTTGATATGCCCTCTATAAATTAAGGCTGAATTTAAGAATTATATTCAATATAATCATCAAAGTTGGTAAAGTCAATCAGTCAATAGATATAAAAATATTAATTTTAGTATGTTTTAAATACAAGATTTAATTTAAAAGCATTGATTGGATGAAATAAATTCAGTGGGAATATATGATAAAATAATAAAATAATGTATAAATAATATAAATTGCTTTAAATAAATAAATTTAAATAACTCAATAATAAAAATATAAGATCATAAACATAATATTATATTTTTGTAACATTATTAAATAATGTTTTATAACATTATTAAATAATTAAAATATTCAATAAATATTATATACAAATATTACAAATAATGAAATACTTTCATTTTTCAAAAAATTATATAATTGTCGATTTCGATAAACAAAAATGAATATTAAGATAAATTTTAATTGATGATTCCTTTTTCAATTAAAAAATATAACAAAATTTTTATTATAATAATTAAACGATATTTTAATGTATTTATTAAATTTATTAAATTAAATTTATTATGAACTGAAACATCTAAACAATGATATAATAAATTTACATATCAATTTATATATATCAATCAATATAATATAATAAAATTACATATATATTATATTTATTAAATTTTTATGTTTTAAATATAATATAGGAATAAAATTTAATACTAACAATTTTATTATAATTTATGTTTATATAATATTACTTAGATGCAAATACATAATAATAATTTGTCGATTTCAATAATATAACGAAAAATATAACGAAAAATATACATGAAGTTAAATCTTATAAGATAGATATATTTTTAATCTATAATTTGTATCAAATTTATATTATTATAATATTTAGAATTTTAAAAGTGCCTTAATTAATAAATTTATACTAAAAGTCAATTAGAAATCAAAATAATAGTACGATAAAAACATTATGTCCGATGGACCATGATTATTCACTTAAAATATAACAAAGTATATGTTAAATTGTTATAAACAACAATTATATTTATACATCTTTTAATAACTTAATCAGAATTATATAATAGATTAATAAATTTAAATTAAACAGTATAATCATTTTTTCAACTTTTTTGTAACTCTTTTAGGTTATTATTAAGTGCAATTATTTCATAAATAACATAAATTGTTATTTAATTTCAATTTTTGCTTTTAAAATTAAGTTCTAATTTTGTTACATTATTATTAAATGAGTTATATGTAATATGTAATATTTCATAACTCATTATTATCATTTAAAATAACATAAACAATGTCAGAAGTTAAACATCAACAATTAAAAATATTGTCACAATTTTCATCTGAAAATCAGGTAAAATTTAAAAAAAAAAATGTTTATAAAATAAGAATATAATATTTTACGAAATAATTAAATAATTAAATAAAAAAAAATCAATATTAAAATAATGAATATTGATTGTAAACATAATAAATTTAACTTCTTCTTTTTAATAAAATGGTTCAATATTAGATAGTAAAAAAGTCACTTTTAAAAATGAAGATAATATCTTGATTTTCTTTTTGATTACAGGAATATATAAATAAACTTCAAACTAATGATGGAATATGTTTATCTTCTATATATAATTCAAATATTGAAATACAAGTCAGAAGCAAAAATAAGAATTATAAAAATAATGTTGAATTTGATTTTATAAAATTAGAAAATATTTCTTTACAAAATTTATCAAATTCTCAAAATGAATTAAAGATTAACTATACAGAACAAAATAATATAAAAATAAAAAATGAATCTATGGAATCTATAACTCATTTAAATAATAAAAATATTTCTGATGATTTTAAATTAATAACAATCAATAATGAAATTAATAAAGAAGATATAAAAGATAACAACATTCCTATTAAAATAAAAAAAGGTTTTGTATTTGAAAAAAATATTTTTAGTCAACTTAAAGATAAATCACATAATTATGAAATTAAAAATGAAAATTTAAATGATGAAAATAATGATCCTGAAACTAAATTTATAACATCAATTAATCAAAATAAAATCAAGATCAATAGTTTAGTTATGCTAAATAAACAAGTTAAAACATGTAATCAATGTTCAATGACATTTAGATACAAAAGACATTTAGATCGACATTTGGAAGGTCATCAAAAAAATAATTGTTCTCATTGCAGTGCAAAATTTGCTAGACGCAAACATCTTGACATACATTTATTTCGTTCACATGGTGAAAGAGTAACAAAATATCCACATTCTTGTGATGTATGTTCTCGTAGCTTTCCTAAACGTATCTTATTAAATCGTCATCGTGCAAAACATAACTATGAAAATGGCAAGGTTTGTTCAGATTGTGGAGAAATGTTAAAAACAGAAGAAGATGATAAGAAACACAAAGAAAATTATTGTATAAGAAAACAATTTAAATGTAAAAAATGTTTACAAACATTTAGTATTGAACAAACATATATAGCTCATATCCAAAATCATAATAATCATAAATGCTCAAAATGTGATGTCACTTTCGCTTCTAAAAAAAAAGTACATGAACATTATAAAATGGTACATTCTTCAAAATTGAATCCTAATCAAATATCAAATGGTAAGTTTTTTAAAACAAAATAATAAAAAATATATTAATAATTCATAAATATTAATTATTTTATAGGTATTTATTTTTGTGCTGACTGTAGAAATACTTTCTTAAAAAAGGATGATTATTCTCGTCATTTAAATTCTACATCACATCTTAATAAGATAAATAAAGAAATATCTCAAAGAAATATTTTTATATGTCTAATTTGTTCAAAGAAATTAATTTCACAAAGAGCTCTTGATCAACATATTAGACGTATACATAAAGAAGAAAAAAGATTTACATGTAATATATATGGTTGTACATTTCAATGTGCAAGAAAATCAGACTTGGATAGACATAAACAATTACATATAGAACAAAGGAACATTATATGTGAACAATGTGGTAAAACTTTTACTAGTGTTAGTATTCTTAATGATCATGTTCTTTATATACATAATAAGGAAAGACAATTTATATGTGAAGAATGTGGTAAAGCATTTAAACGAAATAGTTTATTAAAAAGACATAAATTATCTCATCAACAATATCGACCATTTGTTTGTATGCAATGTAATACTGCTTTCAAGAGATCCCATCATCTTTCTCGCCACATGGAAACTTGTCATAGAATTACGCTTGAAAAGAAAAAGAAAGTAAGTTTAATTATATATTTCTATTTTATTTTCTAATCTGTTTATATCATTTAATAAAAATACACAATTAAATTATAATACAATATTTAATAGGTAGTAAAACTCATGAAAACAGAAGATGGTCATCTTGTTCCAATACCAGAGAAACCAAAAAATCTTAAACCCAAAAAATTAAAAATTAAAGCAGAATCTAATACAATTTTAACATCAAATGATAAAACTTTATCTTTTCAAGATATGAATATTAATGAACATAAAGACTCAAATTTAGAAACATTATTATTTAATGATCTATATGAAAATTCAACACTATCATTAGAATTTAATTTATTACCAAATACAAATTCTGCCTCACAAGTTCTTTCATTATTAGATATCAATGCAGAACAAATTGTGACTGTAGAAGTTACTAATCCAAAAACATTAATAATGAATGATATTATAGATCAATTTGAAGTAAATTGTAATGAAATACTGAATTTAAATTATCGAGATTCAGAGTTTGAAAATGGAATTTTAACAGATCAAAATTTATATGATCATGTAAATTATTCTGGATTATCATTAGAAACTGTGGAAGGAACATCACTTTTTTTGGATTCAAATATTAACAAAGTAGATACTTTACCAATAGAAAATTATTTAAATCAATCATTCCATCGTTTTTAAACCTTTAATTATAATTGTAAAATATTCAATTTATGGACTAAATAATTTATATATTTAGATAAAAAATTCTAACATTAATTTAATTCATAAATATGTACATGAAATACATGCCTTATTTTTTAAAAATAATTAAGTTTTAAATCGCGGCAATCAAAAATGTGATATTTTTTAAATTAAATATTTTGTAATATTTAAATACTGTCAAAATTTATTATGCATTTAATAAGTAGAATGATTGTATAATAATTTTTCTAAATTTTTATTTATTGTTTACATTAATACATGTATGTAGATTAGTGTATATAGGATGTTCTAAAAATATAGGATACTTAATTAGATATTTCTGAAATAATTTCAAGCAACATTTTCCTTTGCAAAAATTTTTGTTATGTTAACGATTTATTAACAAAAAATTGAACATCATACAGCATAAATTAATCAAGCCACAGTATTGAATACATAATATTGAACCTGAACAAATCCAAGCAATATATATCGAAAAAAGTATATTGAATATAATAACAAATATTTTTTCATTATAAAAAACTCAAATTAATCTTATTCAAAAACATAACATAAATAAAATAATTGTGTTATTTGTTGAATTATTTATTTGTTATTTAAAATAAAATAAATAATATTAAATGTGATATAAAAAGATAAATATAAAACTTTTTTAACAAATGAATGATAAATAATATATATTTGAAGGAGGGGAAAAAGAGCAGGATTAAAATAGGAAGAAAACATTCTATATAAATAACAATTAATTACTTTCATTGTTCCTGAATAAGATTTTATTTATTCTTCTTGAATAAAATATAATTCAATATATTTTTTTTCTAATAATTTTTAATAAATATTTGTTATATTCCACAAATTTTTTTCAATATATGTTTGGATTAATTGTCTAGCCGCCGATACATACATACTCAACACTATTGTGAGTATAGTCAATTTGATTAATTTACGCGTGATTGATCAGTTTATTGTTAATTTATTAATAAAGTTATAATAAAAGTTTTTATAAAAGAAAAATTTGGTGCTTAAAATCTCATCATAAAAATCTCATTTTTCAATCAACCAATGTTTCTACATTTTTATACATTGTATATTATAGAAATGTCATCATTTTTTTAATTGCTAAAAAATATATATTTTTTGAATATAACTATAATTTGTCTTTCATTTAATCAATTAAAGGCATGAGTTTGTATTATAGTTATATAATTACAAACTTTTTATTATATATATATTAAGTTTTTAAAGAAAAAAAATATTGACAACTAGAAAATTAAAAACTTAGAAAACTTTGTAAAAAATAACATTTCTCAATTCTTTTGAGTTATCTTGTTGTTTTTATAAGATTTATAATTTCTGATAGATTGATATTTCATAAGACCATTGATATAAAGTTTTTTGTTTATATTGAACATAATTATGAATATTTATTATCTATTATATCTATTATATTAAAATAGAAGAAATATTTTCCTTTGAAATTAATATAAGATTTAAATAGATTTATATGTGATTTATAAATAATAAAAATAAATATATCAAAATAATTAAGTAATGTTTGACAATATACAGAACTATAGAAGTATCAATTATAGTGTAATTAAATGATTATTAATATAAAAAAAATTATAAATTATATTCTAAATATTCATATAAATTATAGTTATATAAATTTTTATTATATAAAAAATAAATATTTATAATTATTGAATTTTTATCAAAAATAGATATATAATTTTATAAATATTTTTAGTGAATATTCATGTCTATTTTTTGCATATATTTATTTTTTGTTGTATCCTTCTACATCTGATCATAATACATTATTATAAAATTTGTTATAAAATAATAAGAAATAATCCAATTAATTTTCTTTCTTCATTACTAGTATTAGGGTAAATAAATGATTAATTATCTATTAATTTATCTTCTTCTTAAAGCATAAACCCATTTAAAAGTAAAATTCTCATGAATTGCTCTTAAAAATTATTCTTTGTAAGCAAACACTGCGTTGAAAATGATTTTTTGAAGTTATTTTTAACATAGTACTTAAATATTTGTGAAGAATATTCTTAAAAAACAACTTGCGAGAGTTTTATTCTGAAATAGTTTCATACTCTTAAAATTACATTTTATATATTTGGAAAATTTATATCAAAATGTATGTTAACAAAGTTTTACATAATGATTTATACAAAAATATAACATATACATTCATAATTTTTTATAAACTTTTTTAACACTACATTTTAATATTTTATATGCTTAAAAATTTTCCTATTGTAAAATTCAAAATACAAGATTTATGAATAAAGTTTAGGTAAAATTTTATTAACACTATGACTTTTTTTGATTTGTTTATATGTTATTAAAATTTGTACAACTTACTTGTTTTTATACCCATATTCTTTATAGTCATTTTAAATCAACGATACTTAAGTAATGTATTAATATATTTCACAATATTTAGCTTGGACATTGTCTTTCACTTTAATTTCATTTTAAATTTTTCTCACGAAATAAATCTGTATAAAAGGACACTTAAAACTGCTGCAGTTGCTCCACCAATTAAGCTCCATGTAAATTTTGATGAATTTTTATTCTTATTTCCTTTCTTTAAATTTTTTAAAGATGTATTGTTATTTTTATGTGCACCTAACATTTTACGATATAAATTCTTTTCATGCTGAGCATCCTTAGCATTTTTTTCTTTTAAAATAGCTAATTCCATTTGAATAGCCTTAGTTTCTGGCTCCAATTTTGCTGCTTGAAGCAATGTTTGATATGCTAATGCATGTTCTCCTTTATAATGCAAAATTTTTCCTAAAATAATATAAAATATTATATAATATATATAACATATATAAAATAATATAAAATATTTAATGCACAAAATTTGTTACTATATATAAAATATATTTGTAATATTACCTTTTCTAAATAGAGCTTTTACATTTTGAGGTTGACAACTCAGAACACTTTCTACACTTTTCAATGCTGCATCATAAGCTTGTGTTTTCATTTGTGCAGCTGCTAAATTATTATATACTTTCATACGATCCTCTAACAAAGCTTGCAATTCAGCATCAGTAGTATCTTCTGCCTCACTTTGATAGGGTGTACGACTTTCTGTTGGTAATAAAAATTCTAAAGCTCTCCGGTAACATTGAATTGCAAGTGTTGGTTCATTACGAGTAAACCACCAATTCCCACGTTCTCGTTTTTTATTGCTTTAAAAAAAAGACAATAATCAATCACAAATTTAAGTATCAATAATAATGTAAAAAATAAATACCCAATTTCTTTTCGCTGATTAGCATTAAGGGTTTCTATTTCTGCTTCTAATTCACTTGATTTTAATTCAACTGTATATAAAATAGTTGCATTAGATGGAATATTTGGTTCTTTTCCTAGAGAACCATAAGCAAATCTTGGATCAACCTCAATTTCAGCAATTTCATTCACATCCATTAATGCAATTGCTAAATCTAATCCCTATAATTGAACAATATAATAAAAATATTATTGCAATAATATTAAAATATTACTATTTTTGTTAATAAAAAATTCAAATTATTACATTAATTTTTATAACAATACAATATATTTAACACTAGAAAATAATAATCATACAATAAAATTTTTAAAATATTATTAAATATATAAATATATATTTAAAAAAATTTGAAAATAAGATTTAAAAAAAAATTCAATACCTGAATCAATTCAACATCTCCTAATTGAATTTTAAGATCTTCATATTTTTCAACAATTGTATTATCTTTTAATTTGCCAATAATTTTTAAAGTACAAATATCAGATCTATTTGGTCGTGTTCCATTTTTTCCATTTTTTATAACTTTTTTTTTAAGTCTGTCCATTCCTAAAATATCTATCCACTCTTCGGGTGGATGTTCATTTAAAGTTGCTTTTGTCATTGGTTCATTTGGATCTATATCAAAGTTCAATTCTTCATTAATGAAATCAGCTTGAGTTGATCCTGACTGATTAGATTCATCTTCCATCTTCAAAAAAATTCAATAAATTATTCGAATTTATTTTATATAAAAAAAATATAATATACTTTTAAAAAATATTATTTATAAAAGTAAAATCATAAATGGTAAATTCACATTTTATTAAGGAATTAAAAATTATTCTTATTTCACATAGAAAAAAATTCCAGTCTTAATAAAATGCATGCTTAAAAATTAATTTTCAAGTTGCAATACCAAATATGTCATTTATATTTTAAAATGATGTATTATTAATTATAAAAAATATTAAATGATAAAATTGAAAATTTCGTATTTTATTTGACAAATCAACACATGTAACGAATAACATGTATTCAATAAACAGTAGAAAAATGCATACTCATTCGATGAATCGAAGAAATTTGAAGTAAGATAAATATTACTATTTCTTATTATACCACATAATTCAGTTTTTAGATTGATTTTTCTCTAAAAATACATACCTTATTATTTTCAAAAGTTTGAACAGTCATTAAAAATGTTTTGAAATAATTTGTTTCGCAATACACGCGATATCAGTTGACTTCACTTATTACTTGAAATAAGCATTAGTAAAATATCGAAAATATTTAATCGATAATCGAATTTTTTTAAGCCATTTGATTACGTAAATATATATGAATTAATTAGTTTTATTCAATTGCTCGATTCAATTATTGAGATAAATTTACGACAAATAAATATTTTTATTTTATGAATTTTACAATGTATAAGTAACCTAATAAGTGATATGTATGAATCATTAATTTTTATTATTAATGAAATTGAAACAACATTATATACAATTTACATTATATACAACAATATTAGCATTCTGTATTCATTTAATATCTAATCATTTTTAATTTTCTATAATAAAAGAAAAATATATTAAATTCATTCTACTTACAATAGAATAAATTTATTTACAATACTTACAAAATAAAGTAAATCAATTTTTATGTTTTTTTATGTACAAATATTATTCTATAATAACCAAAAAAAATAAAATAACAATATATATATATACATATATATATTATAACAAATATATTTATAATATTAAAACTTTTATTTATAATATCTATATTCTTATATTATTTTCTATATTTATAGTATCAAAATTATATTCATAAATTAATAATTAATTCATATAATATCAAAATTATATTAATTCATATATTAATTCTTTTATTATTTTATATATCACTTAAATATATCATTTTAATTATTCATTTATAAATAAAAATATAATAAAAATAAGTACAAAATAACAATTAATTTTTTTTTAATATATTATATATAATATATTGTATATATTGAATATATATCAAAATTTGATTATATATTAAAAAAAAGAATTTTTTTTTAATTGATTTTAATTAATGAATTGAATATATATTTCAAATAAAAAAATATATAATTATATAATATTCGAATTTATATTTTATTCGAATTTTTATAATAATATAAATTAATAATGTTTTATAATTCTAAATTCATAATATATATTTGTTATGTGCAACTAGATAACAATAAAGATAACCAATTAAATAATCCCACATTTCTAATATAAGCGCATGCGTAAGGGATCCACGTTCGATTATATACTATATATATACTATATATTACATTTCATTCTGGCAGAATATACCTTAGTCTTCATCTGGTTAATTTCTGAATAAAAATATTTTTTTATTAACAATGAAATTGCTTTTATTAGTGGGAGTAGTGGTAGCGATGTTTTGTACAACTGGTAACGCTGATAATACGAAAGGCCCAAAAGTTACAGATAAAGTAAGTAAATTAATTATGCCGGTATAATTCATTGTTTAGTTTAATTCAAAAATAAAAAATATATATATAGTTCATTATTGGCAATTTTTTTTCGTTTATAAAAAATCATTTATATATCTTATCATTGTATCATATCTTATCATATTTCTATTTATTTTTGATATTTAAATCTAGAAAATTTTTTTAAAATAAGTTATACATATATAATTTATATACAATTTTATATTTTTTAGATATATATATATAATAAAAAATGTATTTAAATTTGTTTACATACTGAATATTTTTATATGCTAAATTTATGATTATATGATCATAATTTAATTTTTTTTTATATGCTGTGAAATTAATTATAACAAAATCTACATAGGTATGGTTTGATATTAATATTGATGGTAAATATGAAGGAAGAATTGAAATTGGACTTTTTGGAAAAACAGTTCCAAAAACAGTTGAAAATTTCATTGAATTATCTAAAAAACCTCAAGGAGAAGGATATAAGGGTAGTAAATTTCATAGAGTCATTAGTGAGTTTATGATCCAAGGAGGAGATTTTACAAAAGGAGATGGAACTGGAGGTTTGAATTATGATATTATTTATTTATATTATTTATTTCTATATATTTTGAAAGTACATTTTATTTTATATGAAAATGTAATTGAATAAATTTAAAAGAAATTTTAAATAATTAAAATATTTATAATATTTGAAATGTTTAACAATTTGTTTAATACTTTTTATTTTACTCATTAGGACATAGTATTTATGGCAGTCGTTTTAAAGATGAAAACTTCAAATTGAATCATTATGGTGCTGGATGGTTATCTATGGCAAATGCTGGAAAAGATACTAATGGTTCTCAGTTTTTTATTACTGTAAAACAAACTCCATGGCTTGATGGTAGACATGTTGTATTTGGCAAAGTAATTAAAGGAATGGTATGTAATTATTTAAATATAATTATATTTAATTATAAATATAAATTTAAAATATAATATAATATAAATTTAAAATATAAGATTAAATTTAAAATATAAATAAATTTAATATTTAAATCTATCTTCTTATTTTTTAAATATTTATTATGAAAATAATTTTATACAGGATGTAGTAAGAAAAATTGAAAAAGTAAATACTGATACACGTGATAGACCAATAAAAGATGTTGTAATTGCCGATTGTGGTGCAGAAGTAGTAGCAAATCCTTTCAGTGTATCAAAAGAAGATGCTACGGATTAAATATATTTTCATTTTTATATATAATAATAAAAACTAATAATTTTTAACTACCATATGCTAACAAAAAATTTTAATATGATCATGATGAAATTTTTTTTATTAAATAATTAAAATATAATCAAAAATATAATATTTGAAAATTTATTACAAAAATTATTTAAATATTACTTGCATAACTATTAAAAAAGTTATTTTAATTATTTTAATAAATCTTGTTATAATATTGTTGAAATATTTTAACAATTAAAAGTTATTAAAAAATTATACAATAAAAGTTTGTTTTTATTGTTTTATAATTATATTTTATTTTGCAAATCACAAATAATAAATAAACATATGGAGTTAAAAAATATTGTTTTAAGCTGTCTTATCTTATTTCAATTTTCATAAAACCATATATATATATATACATATATCAAAACATATAATAAATTTTATATACTTATAATCACATTTTTTCAAATAAACTTAAATTGTTTATAATGTTTTATTTTGTTTCACTTCTTTTATAACCATATTTATTTGATATAGATGTAAATAATACAAATGTGATAAAAATAAATGAAATACATTTTACATAGCGAAATTATGAATAAATATACTTCATTGATGTATGTGTAACATGTAACATATAACAATGTTGTAACATGTAATACCTATACCTTTCACTTTAAAGTTCATGACATTCTCACAAATAAATTCTTCATTCATTTTTATAGAACATTTGTTGACTGCATAAGTCACAATCAATAAAATAATTAATCAAGAAATTTTATTATATTTTCATTAATTTTCGTATAAATAATATTCGTATATATATATACAATATGATGTATACAATATACAAAATATTAAAATAATTTTGAATTGAATTATGTAGTAGTTGTTGAAAGATGATAAAAATAACATGTTATGGAATAATCATTTTGAAAAATTTGAAATTATACCATTTTATTTTATTTTATAGTGTTAGTTTTTTATTGTATTATATAGACATATTGTAGTTGCTATTATCCTTAAGTATTTATTACGTAAATACTTAAATTGATAAATTGATAAATTGATAAAATTATTAAGTTGAGCGTATTTTTTGAAAAATTATCTATATATGTTGAAAAATTTTTATAATATTTTATTTATTTTATATTTATTCTATTATTCTATTTTATTATATTATTGAAAATATCATGTATTTATTAAAAAAAAATAAGAAATGTTTCTTTTAAGAATTTTTACTTTTTCATAATTGTTTTAATATCTAAAATAATTTAATCTTTGTTCTATATAATTTTTTCTCTTAGACAACTTTCGATCAGTTTAATGTAGAATCCCATTCGGACTCAGATAAAAATATAATTTTTTAATATATAGCGCTAGTGATTTCAATATACTATGTACTTCATGTGTTATAACCTTAGTGTGAAATTTAAATAAATTATTTATCTTTATCAATTATAATTTTCTTATATTTAATTTTTTTATTTTTTTTTCATGTCAACATAATATAATTATGTTATATTAAATATAACAATTGTTAAACAAGTTTTTGTATCAAAATATTACATTAAATATTGAAATTAATTAAAATTTGATTTTAATTACAGTGTTAGATTATTATTTAGAAAATGCTTCAAACAAAATCTGTACTATTTTATATTATATTTTTTTTATTTTTAATGTTGTTTCTTTTATTCTACATTCTTGGAATTGTTCGTTACATTACGGATTTTGAAGAAAATACTTGCGATATGACATATATGTTTGAATATCCACAATATGTGGTAGGTAAATATAATATTTAAAAAAATATATATATAAAATATTATAATAAATATAATTAAAATAAATAATATGTATAAAATATTAAATATTAATCTATTTTACTTTAATTTTTTTTAATTGTCTATCTATTGTTTTATTAAATTAAATTACAACAATCACATAATAATAATTTTATAATTTTATGATATAATTATAAAATTTTTTAAAATTTTATATTTAAAAAAGTTATATATTAAATTATTATGATTGAAATTGATTTTTGAATTATAAAAGATTTTTATAAATTTTCTTATTTCTAATTTGAACAATACTTTTATTAATCTTTTTTTTGAACATTTATAACAGAGTTTATTAATTTTATTTCAAATTAATTTTCAAATTAATTTTATTTGTTATATTATTACTATTATTATATTAATAAATTAATTTAAATTTAATTTGTAAGTATAATATAAAAAATATTAATTTAAACTTAATTTGTAAGTATGATATAAAAAATATTAATTTTAATAAATAATATATAATACTTTTATCCTTTAATAAAAATCTTTTATTATAAATATTTGAAAAGAGAATCTCCTTAAATAATGAAATAGAAGAACGATATCCAAGATATGGATTATATGCATATGGAGAAGGTTTTGTTACTGAAAAACTTAGAAGAATGTACTTCTCAGGAATACCAGTACTTTTTATACCTGGCAATCTTGGATCTCATGAGCAAGGTTCTTAGAATCTTAAAGGTATTTTAATATTTTGACTTAAATCTGTTGTTAATAATTCTATTGTTTTTAGTAAGATCTCTTGCTTCTGTCAGTTTGAGAAAAAGTTTAAAAGATAGAACTCCATTTCATTTTGATTATTTTACTGTTTCAATAGGCAAGGATTATTCTGCTTTATATGGAGGTATGAACAAAAAGAAATATAATATAATATAAGATAAATATAAGAATATAATTATAATGTAATTCTATTATATATTCTATACATTATAATTCTTCAATTATATATAAAATAATAATTTTATTAATTAATAATCATTTTATTCGTCATTTATCATTTATCTTTTTTTATTTTTTTCATGTATTTTTATAATTCATATATAATTTATTATTAGTCAATCTGTTAATTAAATATTTTCTTATTAATCTTAGTCAGCTTAAAATATATTGTTAAAGGCATTTTCAAATATATTTTAACATTTTTCTTTTACACTTAATAATATATATAATAATTGAAACAATTTACTTTAATTCTTAAGTTGTTTACAAAAAATTTTGATATTATATATTATTATTATTATAGTAGATAAAATTGTTTAAAATGTTATCCTTTATAGCATATTTCAAATTTACTAAAATCAATAAAGAAAAAATTAATTAGCAGGTTGACTTTTAAATAATTAAAAAAAATAAATGATAATTTATTATAATTAATTCAAGGTGTTTTGATTGAAGAAACAATGTATGTTTCATATTGTATACAAAAAATATTAAGTTTATATAAATCTAAAATAGATAAGATTGTGCTTATAGGACATTCAATGGTAAATACATTTAATATTATTATATTTATTTCAGTAAGGATATTATACTATTTTTTTATTTTTAGGGTGGTATTATAGCTAAAGGTTCTGTTTTGATGACTTCAAATATAAATGCTAGTGTTGCAAGTATCATTATTACTTTAGCTACTCCTCATACACCTACATTAGCATTAGATTATACTTTTGTTAATTATTATAAAAATTTAGAAAAACGCTTAAATGATATAAAAGATGCAGGAGTAAACATAATATCAATAGGAGGTGGTCCACGAGATACACTCATAACATCAACACAAATTTTAGATCCTACAGCAGATATTAATGTTATTTCTAATACTATACCAGATGTTTGGAAATCTGTAGATCATCTTAGTATTTTGTGGTGCAAACAATTAGTATTATCTATTGTGCAATCATTATTTGATTCTGTTAATTATGCTCAAAAACCACCTAAAATATTTTCTACAACTAATGAAAGAATGCAAGCATTATCATATCATTTTTATCATGTAAGAAAGTTTTTTAAAGTCATCTTCATCATAAAAGTATTTAAAACTATAAAAATTAATTTTACAGCGTACTTCTGGAAAAAGATTATATTTTTATAAAGAAACAATACAATTTGAAACTGATGGTGAATGGATAGAAAATATTCAAAGACATTATACATGGACTAATAAAAACTCATTTAAGAAAACATCTTTTATTTATCTTATGATTAGATTAAGTGGACAACCAGATTATTTAACTATTGATACTAAAAATTTAGAATCTAAAGATTGGTTATTTGCATGTACAGCATCTAATATACAAGGACAATCAAGAATTTGGTAATATTAAATTATTGCTTTTAATTATAAATTTGTTAAAATATTATTATAAAAAAAATATTTTATATTTAATTTAGCAATTGGGGTTGGAATTTGACAAATAGAACAAGAATTTTATCAGATCCTTTACACCATATAAGAAAAACTGTTGATTTAAATTTGCAAGAGATAAACTATCCTGGTGTAACACATATTATAATAAGAATTACACCAGATGATTTAGAAAAATATGTTATAATAAATGTAGATTTATATTCTCATGATACAAGATTTATATTTATTAAGAATAATTTATCTTTATTGAAAAGTTTATTTAAATTATCTCAAATAAAAAAATCTCATCCTGGACATATTAGATATTATGCTAGTTTTGATAACTTTGTAGACGTTATTGCTGTTGAACTTAAAGCATCTGGATGTATGGATCCAAAACATGCAATTGTTGAATTAATAGAACCATGGAGTATTGGAGTTACACAAATTCAATTTTTTACAGTTATGTAAGTATAAATATAAATTTTTTTTTTAGTTTAAATTATTAAATTATTAAAATTTTTTAATATTTTAGAGATAATGGACCAAAAATGATGAAAATTCAAACTAAAAATAAGTATTCTGATATTTCTCCAAATTTAAGAATAACTTTAGATCCTGCATGTTCATATGTAATTAATATTCAAAAAGGTGGAATTATAGATCAAATATCTTGTATTGTAAGAGATCGCTGGTATCTATTGTACACAACAATTATTAGTTTACTTTTGTTATTTTTATCTACAAGAATCAATCATGGTCACAATCAAACTCCAATAATAATAATTACGATATTTCTGTCGTTTTGTTATAATTTAATGTTTGAATGTTTAATTGCTTTGGCAATTATTTGTGTATTTACTATTGGAC